TGTTTCATTCTGTCCTTATAAAACAGCTTCAAGTTAAGTTTGCTATTAATTGCAAAAAAAAAAGAAATACTAGCGTGAGGGGGCGCTACTCTGGAGTGCGAAACTCGTACTTTCAATTCAGAAGAATAAAAGGCTGTGGTGAACCACAGAAGATAGTTTAATTGATACCTTTTCACTTATATTCAGAATGTATTTCTAACAAATTTTCAAAAATACTGCATTACGAAGAGAATTGCGCAAAATGCGGACGGCAGAAACAACTGCTCCTAAATAAAATACTAGGCTTATAACAACCGCCTTCTGTTCACCAATTCCATGTATTCCAAAGTAACAACAAAATTAGCAAGCAAAGGCGTCCCATGACAGGCGGGTCTACGTAATCAGAGGTGCGGAATTAAACCATAACTGAAGTAATAATTAGGAAACTGCAATAAATCTTAAGGAATTTTAATATAGGTGTCATTTTCAGAAATTTGGAGGCGCGGAACTAATTTATAATTGGAGTAAAAATTAAGGTATCTCAATAAAACTAATAAGTTAATTGAAGACCAAGAATGGATCGCGTAGAAAATTGGCAAAATCGCACAACAATCACGCCCGTTTTTCCTATAGCAGAAATATGAAAACTAAGATAGGTCCAATTTTTGACTGCTTCGAAGGAGTTGGATCTGTCACTTCTTCAATGCCTGATAATGCACCGCAATCTCTGATAGTGGACATCGTAAGACGATTTGCAAGCTAATCTTCGTTTTTAGAAAAGAAAAGCTTCTTACTTGGTGATCCGTATAGCTATTTTGTTTTTTTTAACTTAGGTAGAAAGTGTCGGCTCGATTCGCTAGAGATTCGCTTTAAAAGGTCGCACCTGACCTGTTTTCTGTCTGTTTCAATGTTTCAACGCATTTATGATGATTCAATCTTTTGAAATGTTGACATCGCTTAATTCCATATAAGAAATGCTGAAAGTGGCCATGATTTCGAAGAAGATTTCCTTTTAACAATTTTAAGAAGATTTCTAAAGAACTCAAGAGAATATTCATTAGACTGCGCCTTAGTTGTAGGTAGAACATTTTTTGTTAAGCTATAAAGCAATACTCCTCCTAGAAATGCTCCTTTGGTCAAAAAAACATGCCCTGCAAAAAATTCAAAAAATCGGACAACGGAAAGACGTTATTTACGAGAAATGCAAATTAAGTTTGCAAATCGCAAAATAAAAAAAAAAAAAACTAAAATCCAAGACGGCGGGATGTTCCCATGTGAAATTTGGGGCCAAGACTGTAGATCCATGATCTAGCTGTCAAATAAAAGTAAACTGCATCAAAAGTTGGCTACTACAATTTTTTGCTTCGTACCAATTTGATCTAAGTTTACTGGGCTAAAAATTAACTTCTCAAAACCTAATAGCTTTAAAAGTTGGGGAGGTTTAAAAGTACTGTAGCCATATTTGACATCGGAAAACAAAAGTACATCAAGTGCCATTAAAACATATCAAACTTCCCGCTGACTTATAGGCAATTTTGTCCACATAGTGAAAAATTGCATGAAAACGATGCACTTTAGGGCCTTTTTTATGACCAAGTGAAACTTTTTGGGGGGAGTCTTACTTATGTATGTGCCCTAAGAAATGAATAAAAATGTAAAACAAAAGTGTTTCTTAAAGAAAAATAATAGAATTGAAAGAGTAAAATTTTACCCACAATAGGAAAAAAACTGGAATGTGGTGGAACGAAATTGTTTTGGCATTTAACTTTCCCGAATGGATACTAACGTTTGGGCATAGTTTGGTTAAAGCCCGAAAATTGCTGTACCCCTGCTTTAGAAATTCTTTGACCATCCTTGTTTTCAAGATGACTGTGATTCTACAACTCCTTGGCCAGGTAAATCAAACTAAACATTACTTGCGACTTGCTAACCAGTATTTAAAACGAATTGACCACCAATAAAGAAAAAACTACTGGTTAGGAATTTTCCAACTGACATATTTGTTCAAAAAATAATTCCTATGAAACGTAAATATAATAATATTTTTCCGATATATTTTGGTGGACGTCTTCAAATATAATAAATTTTGTGATTCCGGCGGAATACCCGCAACTTTTTTGGTGATACAGTCTAATGTACATACATTACAATAATTTAGCGTCATTTACCCATAATTTAATTAACGCACATGGCTTGGATGCATTTATCCGCCGATGTGCCCACTGAAAGCATCAACACAAAATGAGCTTGTTGTTTTTGTTTCCAATGCAATGGTTGCAAACCACGCCACAAACGACGAAAAATCAAATTTTTTTAATTTTTTGCGTTTTTTGAAATAGCAGATATAACTTCTAGCAAAATGTAAATTAATATTGTTTTCCCCACAAAACTTTAAAAAAATCGGCCTCAAGCTCAATAAAATTGTTGAATTTTTATATTTTTTGTAATAAGTTTTGAGTTTTGTAATACTTGTAGATAAGTGGATGACAAACTTGGTTGTTTATTTTTTTAACAAGTGACAACCGTGCTCAGAACCACATGACAATGCAATAGCAAAGATGAGTTAATCCGATACGTGGCGCAAGAGTCGAGATATTTGAAAACCCTGTATTTATAGTCCGAATTGATTCATATTTAGAACGTATGTATATTTATTACATGAAAAGGAATAACTCAACTAAAAAGTTTGCCGATGTAAACCAGTATTTATGGTTCCCTTTCATTAATACGTATTTACAAAGCTTGTTGTAAAAATATTTATTTTTACTATTTACTTATTTCGCAAAAAGATCGAGAAATTTCCCTTTACATGAAGTTGTGAATTTTCGAAGTTACTTCAAAAAAAAACAAATTTTCTGGGTCTATTACAAATTAATTATTCCAAAAAAATTCATACATACACTGCCGGAACAAAGTATTGGCAAAGACAATTTTTCACAATATACATATGCAACAATTTTTGTTCTAATATTTTTCCGCCAATTTTGTATAAAAATATTGGTCATTCAACAACAAAAAACATAAAAATAAAATTACTAAACTTTGTGCAAAACTCGCGAAAATTCTGCATCTCAAAAAAAATCTGATTAAAAAGTTGAAAATTTTCATGAAAATTTGCTGAATTTTCGCGTATTTTGCACAAAGTTTCAAGTTATATTTTTTTTTGTAGAATACGAAATTGGCGGAAAAATATTAGAATGAAAATTGTTGCATACATTGTGAAAGATTTGCTGTGCCAATATTTTGTTCCGGCAGTGTACATATTTATGTTTCACAATTTTTCTCTAAATTGTAAAGCACATTCTGTCTGTAAACCATCACCTCTTTCATACCGATCAGCGTTCAGAGATTTTTTAATACTTGCCTTTCACCAAAATTGAGCAAAGCTAATCATATAATTCCGAGGTTCCATTACTTAAACAAAGATAGATCTGGGCCGTCTCGGTTACATATGTACAGTGGCGGTCAAAAGTGGATGAATGGTGTTTCGCTTTTAATATTTTCAAAATAAAATTTTTTTTGATAATTTTTTATAAAAATTTTGTTCATAAAAAGTATATTAATCACACCGTAAAACTTTATATAGAATTTAGAAAAGTTCGACCAATTTCTATCTAAATTTCGAGCTTTTTAACCAGAACTTTTATACATTTTTTGGGTATGCAATTAACAGGCTTATAAACTTTAAGTAAAAGAAAATTAAGTTTTGAGCGGATAAAAAATCGCATCAGGTCCACAACAAAAAATTCGATGAAAGGTTCCTTTGACCAAACCTAGTCTATTGTATGTTTTTGGGGTCGCTGTCACGTAAAAGCCGAGGTGTTTTTTGAGGTTCGGAAAAAATCTAGACGTGTTGGAGCAAAACGGACTTCAGATTCGTGTTCAGCGACCCCAAAAACATTTGATAGACTAGGTTTGGTCAAAGGAACCTTTTATGGATTTTTTTTTTGTGGACCTGTGTTATTAATACTTTTTTTTTTGTTGACGGCGTTTTGCACATTCTTCCATATTAAAATGAATTTGTTATGGAAGAATTTGCGCAAAACAGTTTGCGAAAAAAATAAAAAAGTCAATGCCAGTTTTCCTAAAATTCGATATTTATATGACAACAAAACCGTCAAAGCCGTCGGCAATAAAATAAAAAATTATTGAAAATCAATGCGAATTTTAGCCGCTCAAAACTAGACAATGGCAAACCTCAGAGTGTATTTCTGCCATGAAAGACAGCTTCTCATAAAAACACAATCGCCGTTCGGAGTCGACGTAAAACTGTAGGTCCCTTCCTTTGTGTGACAACATCAAAGCGCACGCCACAAAACGGAGGAGAAGCTCGGCCAAACACTAACATACATATGTGTAATCGCCAATCTATTATTATAAAACTTGCACTTGTTTTACTAAAATTTTATAAGCCTATTAACTGCATACCCAAAAAATTTATAAAAAATCTGGTTAAAAGCTTGAAAGTTAGATAAAAATCGTCGAAAACCATACAGTGCTGCCATGGTTTTCCGTCTTAATACACAAAGTCGAGTGGAAATTTTAGGCAATGACGTGAAATTTTCGATACGATTCGACTCTCGAAAAATGACTTGCATTCGACACGACTCTCGCAATGATGCTGTGTATAAAAGTTTGAAAGTGTGATTTTTATAGTTTTTGTTAAAACATAGACCATATTTTAATAAAAAAATATAAAACAAATTTTTTCTTTAAAAACATTGTAAATACATATTAAAAACGAAACACCATTCATCCATTTTTGACCGCCATGTAGACTCAACTGTGCGGTAATGATACTACTACTCGTCTAGTGCTTTACCATTTGACATTGAACAATATTGGTTTCTAAGAAACTTTTCATATAAAACATGCTTCGGCAATAAGTAACTCTAGCTCTTTAGCTATAAATATTACTGAAGAGACACAAGTTTCTTCGGTATACGTGGTTTTTTTTTTTAATTACTTCTTTATTTATATAACGGTTTTTTAATATTTATGGAAATTTCGACCAAACATACCTGCAGTTCCGCCGCCCTTGTTATCAATTTTCACTACAGAATTAGTGATACCACTGCCTGACTCATCCAACGTCGTCTGTGGTGTTGTATTTGATGGTGTACTCGTCGTGGGATTTAAAAGCCGACCTAAAACATACATTGAATTTGTATGCACACAATCGTATACAATTTTCACTCAAATTACCCATTTCAATTGTTATCTCAGCGTTTTCTGCATCGGCTTCCTGAAACTTTTCTTCTATTTCTGATTCTGTTAAAATTTCGTATTCGGATGTGTACTGTGTGACATTCTGTGTACCCGTTCCTCCACCATCTTGAGATGTATGATGTGCGCTGCCGTCGGTTAACTGCTCACTATCATCCACCTCACTTACAATATATTCTGGTATATCCATTTTGACGGTGCCTCGCAGGAATGTCATTTCTGGAGCTGAAATTCATTAAATTGGTATTGCATTATAGTAATTGGCGTAGATTTGAAATAAACTGTATTACATTTAACAATTGTCGAATCATCTTTGACACCATAATCTACACCTTCTGTTGTATAAATATTATCGTCATCATCTGAGAAAGTCATTTTACGCTTCTTGATCGTGTTAGTTGATGGCAGCGTACCTAAATGGGTTTGTTGCAATTGTTGATGTTGATGGTGTTGCAACTGATGTGTTGCAGTTTGTTGCTGCACCTGTGTTTGCACATGCGACTGTGGTTGATGCTGCACCTGAATATGTTGGATTTGTGTTTGTACATGATGATGTTGTGTGGTGGTATGTTGCTGTTGCTGAGATTGCGGTTGCTGCAAAATGTTCGCTGTTGATATTTCGATTGTTTGCGGAGTAGTCTGTGTAGAGGTCGCGACATCGTTAACGGCTCTTATTGTGCTGGGGATGGTTTTAATAAGTTTTTGTTCATCAATGATAGGTGTTGGAGGCAACTTTGGTTTCTCCTTCTCCTCGGAGGTAAGACCTTGCACAGCAAGCAATTCGGCGGTTTGTAGGAAGGACTGCAAAGCTTCTTGCTGTACATTAACTTCTCCCTGTAGAAAAAATACGTTTTACTCATGTGAAAAACAAATGCATACATTAAAAAACTAATAATATATGAAAAATTATACATAGTACTACAATATGTATCGTGCTTACCTGGTACATGAACTCAATTATTGAGGTGAGATCTTCGAATTTAATGAATTTGAAAATTATTACTGGATGCGGATGTGGATTATCCCTAAATATTTCTTTGAAATATGAGCTGCAGGAGGAAAGCACTACTTTATGTGCTTTGATTTTTCGTCCATCGCAGCACAAACTCACATCAACAAAATCATCGTTGTTGCGGTGATTGTCCAGAGCATATGTTAAATGTCGAAAGTAATTGTTCCAACGAAGCGAGTATTGCTGTGTTGTGGCCATTCTTCATTTATTTGCCGCTTTTGAACCAGTCCAAACCATATACTTTTTAATTAATGTTGTGCTTTTTTGTTTGCTACTATACTGACTGCGGTTGCTGTTAGCGCTGGCGCCTCGCACCCTTGTTTCAACGACGCTTGTGCTAAACACTGAAATATCTGTCGAGACGGTAGATACGAGAACAACTCAACTACAGATTTATATTTTTAGTTATTTAGCATACACTTTTTTTAATTGAAAATTTAAACAATTTGCATAAGAACCGCACAAATTTGTTTTCTTTAAGATTTTTGGCTGAAAATTGTAATTTTCCTCTGCTTCCTGGTTGACAGTCGAGCAAATCTTCAGATTTTTTTATCTACGCTTGTTTGTCAATAGAGATGTGAGTAAATAAGCGGAAGAGGATTGCAAAGTAACCGGTCTGAATTGGTATTTAGTTTTGTGACGTACAAGGTGACGCGACAAAGAGAGCGACAAGACATTTTCGGATAAATAACGTCAAGAACAAATCTTTATTTTTCAATGTGGCAGCACATAGTGAAGCGAAAAGCGAAGAAAGCGATAAAGAGCATAGCCGTGGAGCATAGCGTTGACAAAAAAAAAAATAAAAATTTGTTTTCGTTGCTTTCTGAGCTGACGGTTGCTTCACTGGCTGCATTTCTTTATTCGATCTGAACGTTTGGAAAAAACTTTTTTGTTTACTTATTCCTTAGAACGTTCCTGATATGTTAACGTATTTTTCAAACGCCTTCTGTTTATTCTAGCTGTGAAATGGGATTATCTGGAACGCAGCAACTATCACCCGATTTACATGATTCAATTCTTGCTCATTCTCTTTTGTGTTTTCTATTTGCTTTTACACGTTTCAATTCTGTTGAATTCAAGTTTTTGGTTCTTTAAATGGGAAGCAACGAAAATGCCAAGAGCAAAGCAAGAAAGTTGAAACGACTTGACGGTACAGACGCATGTGTACTCGTCCCTTTTCTGCTCTCCCCCTCTCCTCCACATGCGAGCAGAATTGAATTTAATACTTGAACTGTGTAAAAGCAGTCTATGTTTTGACGTTTCTCACGATGTAGAGAGACAGAGATGGCGCATTCAGCAGTACCGCTCATGAACCAACGACTACAGATCACCTAATCAGCCATCGTTGTATTTG